CTTGTGTGTATATATATATATATATATATATTAGCAAAAATTGAATGAGACATCAAATATATCCGTGTTTATATATATATATATATATTACATTTCTAATCAAATCAAAATGATCACCAATTTTTTATGTTATTGGTTAAAAGAATTCATTTCAAGCAAAAAAAAAAAAAAAAGAAATATCTTAATAATTAATTTCGATTCAAAAAGAAACCTTATCGTATTCAAAATTTCCAATTTACGTTATTATTCTCGTTATTTTTATATATTTTATACACTTAAATTTTTTATTTTCAAATCTGTTGAAATTAAAATGAAGATTATAAGTTGTTATTTAGAGGGATATATGGAGATTTTTTAATTAAGAATATAAAATTTATGTATGTATAGGCAGTGATAACCGCCTATTAATTCCTCTTCATGACTGGTTATTTATTTAATTTAATAATATTTAATTTACCGTTATTTTATTTTAATTTTCTCATAATTTTTCATTTATAATTTTTTCTCGTAACGGAAAATTTATGATTTTATATAAAGAAAAGTAATTAATTGTAATAAAATCACCATGCTCTATTTCTAATAACTCATGTGCCTAAACATAATTTGTAAGCCTATAAATACTTGTGAGAAACCACTTCATGGATCACCAACCACTAAGCAAAAACAATGGCAGTCACCTTCTTTGCTCCATTGATATGTGTTCTTGTTCTGCAATATTCCTTCTTAAAAATTAACTCAAGTCCATACGGCTCCGATGTGCCAGATGGCGATAAGGATTTGTTAGAGTTCCCATTGAATCTGGAGTACTTGGAGGCTGAGTTTTTCTTGTATGGCTCATTAGGGTATGGGTTGGACAAGGTTGCTCCTAAGTTAACCGTGGGAGGCCCTACTCCTATTGGTGCCAAAAAGGCCAACCTTGATCCCATCACAAGAGATATTGTAGAGCAATTTGCATGGCAGGAAGTTGGCCACCTAAGGTATTGTATTCGCATCTCTCAATATTGCACTTTCTTTAATTATTTGTGTCGAATTCATCTGGTTCGAGTCTTGTTTTATTTTCTTGACTTCTTCGATTATTTAATATGTAGGGCAATTAAGTCGACAGTCAAAGGATTTTCAAGGCCTCAATTAGATTTGAGTGCGGAATCATTTGCCAATGTGATTAATAGTGCCTTTGGGAAGAACTTGCAACCTCCTTTTGACCCCTACGCCAATAGCATCAACTACCTTATTGCATCTTATGTAATTCCTTATGTTGGACTTACCGGGTATGTGGGAGCAAGTCCTAGACTCGAAGGTGCTACTTCGAAAAGGGTATGTTCCAGAGATATAACAAATGAAGAAAGCAATAACATTCTTGATTTATAAATACTTAGGCTGAATTATTCCATATTTTTTTCTTTTTCTATAAAATGATCATCCAATTGATAATTATGTGTTGTATACAGCTCGTTGCAGGGCTTTTAGGCGTGGAATCTGGCCAAGATGCTATAATCAGAGGGCTTTTATACGAAAGGTCAAATTTGTTAGTGAAACCTTATGGGATAACAGTTGCAGAGTTCACCAATCGCATCTCTGATCTAAGAATAAGCTTGGTAAAGCAGGGTTGAAAGATGAAGGTCTTGTGGTTCCTAAAGCCCTCGGTGCTGAGGGTAAGATCCAAGGAAATTCGCTTGCTGGCGATAGATTCTCAGTTGCTTATGATAGGACACCTGAGAAATTCTTAGATGTTTATGGAAGTGCATGAAACACACCAGTGTTCTATCAATGAGCTGACGTGTCATTGCTAAATCTTATTTACACACTGCAAATTACTGAACTGTGAAACTGATAGTTTTATGTCATTACCATCTATTTGAATAATTATCTTTTGTTTATAATGCTCTTTTAGATCGTAGCAATTCTAAAACCAAGCCAATAATTATGATATTTTATTTTTTCTATGTGTCTTGTCTTTTGAATTATAAATCCTTATTCAATCGTGTAATAACAAGCATTATGAATTTTTTTCTTATACGAAATTGAATAAAGAGTCATTTTCTTAATATAAACTCATATCACAAAGAAATTTGTCTATAAATACACAAGTTATCACATAAATAGATTTAAATAATCAATAAATTTAAAAATCTATATACATGAGCATGCTCAATAAGCCCACCAAATTAAGCAGTCGATGCGGGCATTGTTTTCTTAGTGAATATGTAACGTTAGAACACAATTATATTGTTATTAGAGGAATTAACTAACGTAGAGTGAATCGATTTCCACGATAAATTTTTAATTTTCTAACTTCGACCGAGCTTAGATAAAAAATTAAATTTAAGTCTCTATAAGTAAATAATAACACAATTTTTTCATCGCTGGAAGAGTTAGACTAACAGAAACTTAAATTTTCTGAATTAACCACGATGAAATTAGAAACTTACAAAAATTTTAACTGTTTATCGAATTAAAACAAAATCGGAAGAGTAAACTTTGTACAATCCTTTTAACGTTAAAAAAAATGAAAAGATTCATAACGTACGTACTCCTGAGCGACCATCGTAGATCGTCGTCAAACAAATGTTAATTTAACAAGGATTAGTACACACAAATTTATAGAAAAATAGAGGTTGCACGGTGCAGTCTGGATTTAATTTCTAGCTCAAGTGGATACCAAGAAATATTCCTGATCTGTGCACCAGGCAGGCTCCATCCACCCATGAGTATACAGTCTACTTAAGATGGCTTGAAGAATGCTTACTGTACTGTTTTCTTCTTTCTGTAATTCTATGTTTTTTGTCATCTTAAATCATATTTGGTAATACATACACACACACGTATGTGTATATATTCATTGCAGATAATGTTACTGTTTCTTCTTCTCGAATTTGAGATAATGTTACCGTTTATAAAACAGTAGAGAGATGATTATACATGTGATATGATATATACGTTTTGTAAGGATTATAGTCAGATATTTGACCCTTCCAAAACTAATAATTACTTGATTAATTAATTGGAGATTATTAACTAAGCAGTAGATTTAGTTATACAAATAAATTCTAATTATTCAAATATATAATTAAAAAACTTAATGTTCAATAATATAATACCCTCTATAATACCGAATAAAATCAATTAATGGGTAATTTAGTTCCGTAATTGGTGCGAGTACTTACGTCATTATATAATCTCTTAGGATAATTTTGAAAGAATAATCTCGATTTTGTGAGAGTTAGATTCTTAATGTCTTCCTCGGGAATTTGGAAGCTTTAATCGTAACCTCGCATATTTAGTTACTTAAAATTTTAATTTCTTTTATGACTAAATTGTCTTTTCGTTCTTATTTATTGTATATATTTCTTTTCTGAATTGATTCCAAACTTCTATTCTAATAGTTACTTAAAGCCGTTTGGATGAATTTTATAGGAAACGGAAGAGGCATTCAACCAATAGCATCTAACGCCGTTATTACGAGTCTTTTTTTTTTCTTTCCTTGTACGAGCCAAACAATTAAAAAAGTCATATGCGAGTAGAAACACGACTATCTCGTTACTGGAGGAGTTGATTAACGTAGGATGAGTCTATTTCCAACAACAAACTTTTAATTTCCTTACTTCGAATGAATTTCAGTCTTTTAGGCCGACGATATTAAAATTATAAACTTTTAAAAGAATTAATTAATTATCGAATCGAAAAAATAGAATTTATTCAATTATTTGAGAATTAAAAAAGAATTAAAAAAGTGCAAGCATTCACAACGCATATATCATTGATCGATCTTTTTAGATCGCCATCATAACATACATACTATTGATATCGAATTAAAACTAGATCGGAAGAGTAGATTTTTTTCAATCTTTGAGAGTTAAAAAGGTGAAAAGATTCATAACGTACGTACTTTTGATTGATCGTTTTAGATCGATCGTCAAACAAGAAACAAATTATAGAAAAAAAAACTATTAGTACACACAAATTTTGAGATTTTTTTTTTCAAAAGTGAAATTCAC